TCCTCCCACTCATTATGGTCTGCATTCCTCACCGGGCGCCCACAGCTTCAGAGGCCAGCGTGGTGCCCCGCACCTACAGGATGATGGCCTAGCGAGCAATGGAGTCCAAACTTGGGGCTTTTATTTGCTGGCGGGACACCCAGCTAGCAGAGGGTGCCAGGACTGACCCTTCCTTCTTCCAGAGGGTGTTGAAAGTCATCTGCGTGTCGACTTCTCCCCCTTTCCTTCCCAGGGGTCACCTCCTCCTCACCTTTCACCAGTCATAGAGGAACTCTCTTTGCCCCCAATGCTCGGACACAGAGGCTGTGTGCCCAGAGCAGTGGAGGTCCTGGTCTTGAGTCCACCTGTCTGGGTGTCAGTCTGAGCCGTGTCTGTGTTTGTCATCAAAGGGATGCACACCCGTGCCGCGAGGGCTGTCCTCTTCCCACTTTTGCTGTCTTATTGCCTTTCACCAACAGGCAAACGCTTGATGTCAACTTCAAGAATGGAGTGATACTTAGCAGGGGAAAGTGGGAGTTTGGTTCTGCAGAGCCCACCTACGAGCTGGATAAGCATGGCGGTCTGTCTGTCTGTCTGTCAGTCATTCCAGAGCACAGGAGCTGGCTAGCCAGAGTTGCCTGAGTGGTAACTCTAGGCTCAGCAGAGACATATGTAACGGGAATGACCAAGGGGGATGTGCTGGAGTAACCTCGGGCCTGCACACGCACATTCATGTGTGCCCCCAGGAATGCACACACACACACACACACACACACACACACACACACACACACACACACACACACACACACACACACAGAGCAGTCCTTTTAAAAGTGCCCAGCTGCCAGTGCTGGCCCCACTGGAATTCCAGCGTGGAGCTAGGGTGGGAAGGTGGGGTGGGAGGTCCTCGCTATCTTTTGGGTCTGAGCTCATTATCCAGCAGTTCCTGGGCAGCCTGCAGCCCACGCAGGAAGCTGTTGTTTGGAGGAATGCAGGGAGTGTGGGAGTGGCTGCGGAAGTTACGAAAGATTCGGGACGCAGATGAGCACATTGAAGTTGTGCTTTCTCCTTGAGACTATGATGTCATCTAAAATAGGTTTCAGAGCCGGGGTCCCGTTTAGGTCCTCAGGCCCGCTGCTTGTAAGCCCTGTGACTTTACACCAGCTACCCATCCTCTCTGTTTCTCAGCGACATCTCTAAAGATAATGAAAACAACACTTTATAGGCTTCCTAGGACTGAGAGATGATACAATGTGTTGAAATTTTGTCTACCTGCCTGTTTAATGGCAAGCATTATGTAATGCTTTGTTTTCCCTGCTCCCGAGTCTGACCGCCAGCAGTCAGAATGGCCTTCAGCGTCAACATTTCGCATTAAACAGCTGTGATGCCCCTTAGATGGGGCACAGGCTTCCCTTGCCCTCTCACCTTGGAGATGCCCTGCTCTCTTAACCAATAACGTCGCTTCGTCACCAGGTGATTAATCCAGCTCGTAGCCACCCATCTGCAAGAGGGCTGTGCAGTGAGTCAGTTGTTTTTATGTGGCTCCGGTTAGCCTGAACTGTGTGTACCTGTCTCTCTCAGTAGACCAGACTGGCCTCAAATTCATCCTCCTGCCTCAGCATCCAGCCTTTAGGAAGTGGGATTGTGTGTGTCCCGTGAGAGCTGGGGTTGTCAAGACAGTTTCAGTGGGAGGTGTGGCCTTAGCAGACACTGGGGGTGGGGGGAGCAGTGACTCCGCTGTCCCCCCCCCGGGAAGCTTACACTGAGCCTAACTGAAGCAAGCCCTGAAGCAGGAGCTCGAGGCGTGGCGAGCAGTCTGATTCTGGGGCCCGGCTAAGCATGCGACTTCTCTAACACGGGCGTCCTATTCTTTTTTTTTTTTTGGTTTTTCGAGACAGGGTTTCTCTGTATTGTTTTGGAGGCTGTCGGTCCAGCCTGGCCTCGAACTCACAGAGATCCGCCTGCCTCTGCCTCCCGAGTGCTGGGATTAAAGGCATGTGCCACCAGCGCCCAGCTACGGGCGTCCTATTCTTAATCACACATGTTGGGTTCCCATGTGAAGTTCAACACGGTTCAGGGCTGTTCCTAGGCCTTTAAAATAACGTGTGAATGCTACACTCACGGGGGCTAGTATCTTGCAAATGTGTGCGCCCCCCTTCTCCACCGAGAGTAGACACTGCTTGGTCTGGGCTGTCCTGGGTGATTTCTCCTGTAAAAATGTGTGCTCGCTGCCGACCTGTGGAGCTCCACTCCGCAGAATGGCTTTTGTCAGCGTCATCCAGCTGTAACTTCTCTGAGCTGAGGATTCTCGATGCATCTCTGCCCCACCCCCATTCCCACATCAGAGTAACTTCCTGTGGTTTCTCCAGAATGTTGCCCTGTGCGGCAATTACCCCCGTCCCATCGTTTCCCCTCGTAGATGATGTTTGGAGGCCTCACCACAATTATCCAGTGCAAGTAATTGCCGTCTTAGCTTCAGACAAAAGCCCTCAGTTTTGCCGTGAGTTCAGCGCACACACCGAGTCAGGGTTGCTGTCCCTCAGAAGCAGTTTCGGAGTTTGTTAAGAAAGGTCTAGCGCAAATTAGGCATGGGGATGGGGGTTGGGGGGTGGGGGGTTAAGGGGGTGGGAGGGACTGAAGGAAAGGGCAGGCAGGCAGTACACGGTTTTGCACGCCGCCCCCCAGGGTCGTGCAGGCTTCTGAAGGGTTCCTTTCTTTCCACTCCCTCCTCCTTGTTTCTGGCCAGGTTCCATCACCCCATTCATAAGTAGCCTAGAGTTTAGGGTTTGCCTCCACAGGTTAGAGTTTGCTTGGAGAATGTGACCTTAAAGCAGGCCTAGTGCATCTCTTCTCTGGGTTCCTGGCTGTCTGTCGTGTGCAGGCCATGCTTCTGTTGCTGTGGTTTTGTCACCTGTTAAAGCTGGGTTTTGACTGGTGATCCCCGCAGAGACTCTGGTGTGTTGTGGAGGGGGGTGTTATGCAGGCACTCACCACAGTGCTCGACTAAGCAGTCCACCTTTTATAATGGAACGAAGCGTCTGAACTTGGGGAAGACAGATTTGCTATGGGAACCGTGTCTGGAAACACCCTCCTTAAAAACTGTATTAGAGCCGGGCGTTGGTGGCGCACGCCTTTAATCCCAGCACTCGGGAGGCAGAGGCAGGCGGATCTCTGTGAGTTCGAGGCTAGCCTGGTCTACAGAGTGAGTTCCAGAACAGCCTCCAAAGCCACAGAGAAACCCTGTCTCGAAAAACCAAAAAAAAAAAAAAAAAAAACTGTATTAGCTGTAAGCCCATGTCCAGGAAATTGAAACTGTCATGAGAGGTAAACTGCATGGGCCACACTACCAGCTGTGGACCATCACTGCTAATGTGGCTCAGATGCGGTCATGTGTCACACAGGGTTAGAGTCTTGCGACTGCAATGTGCTGTGTGACCGTCCTGGGGATTTAGTGATGTCTGTAACCATAGGGACCATTCACTGCTTTATGTGGGAGACCAAGAATCAGCTCTGAGGTTTATAATATGCAGCAGTTACAGGTTTGACTTACCCAACGATGGGGTGACCAAAGCATTTTTTGTCAGTAGTCTTAAAATTCGAGCATTGAGCGGTTTGGTTTCCTTGTTTCATTCATGGCCCTTCATAGCCCAGGTGGGTGATGCCCTTCCTCTGCTCCTGTATGCACGCTGTGTGGGAAAGCAACTGTAGAGATCTCAAGACTGAAGCTTCTGTTTTAAAATCTTTTTTTTTTTTCATCCCCGTGCTGGGGAACAAATCCAGGATCTTGTAAATGCTAGGGTTCATTTGTTTTTCTGTCATCTTAGTGGCTGTACTGAATGTACTGCTAAAGTATCGTGTCCATGGCCCTGCAGTCAGCACCCAGAGACTCAGGGCAAGGCCTAGTTGTTGTAAATTACAAAAATGGCTTGAGAGAGAAAGCAGAGGGCTTCTTAAGGGAAAAAAGGATCATAAAAGGGATAGGAGCAGCAGGGAGAGGAAAGGGGGGAGGCAGAGAGAGGGAGAGTCAGAGGGGGGATGGGAGGTGGGCAGGGCCCTTTTAAAAGGGACCAGTGAATGTGAGTGAGCACAGGTGGTGCTCTTTTTTTTTTTTTTTTTTTTTTTTTTTTTTTTTAGGTTTTACAAGACAGGGTTTCTCTGTATTGTTTTGGAGGCTGTCGGTCCAGCCTGGCCTCAAACTCACAGAGACCCTCCTGCCTCTGCCTCCCGAGTGCTGGGATTAAAGGCGTGCACCACCACCGCCCGGTGCTCTTAATGGCAGTATCCCATCAGAACTCCAAAGGCAGGCCAGCACAGGAACCTAAATACTGACGCTGTGGGATTTGCAGTCCCACCGGTGCCGGCTCTGCCGCCCGTGCCAGATGTCGTATTTTTAACCAAGTCTCTAGAGTTCTATTTACCGATAACGACTCGGGAGTCAGATGGCGAGGTGGAAACCCGCTAGCTGAGAGAGCCTGAGGAACAGCCCACTGACCTTCCTTTTTGGCTGGAGACCCAGCAAGAGAAGTGCCTCTCCTGCCACTGGCAACCAGAAACGGGGAGAAACTCCAGGTTCCTCCCTTCTCCATCTGGTGCATCCCTTTGCCCGTCCCCCGGCTCCCGCTCACTCGCTGTGGCTGGCTCCTGCCCACGAGTTCCTGGCTCTGCCTCCTGGTCCAAGGTTGATTTCTGTTAATGCAGACTCCGGTTTCACAGTGTGATCAACTGCAACAGGGTTCTCCTGCTGGATGGCACCGCCCACCCCGGAAGCCCAGTGATAATTGAGTGGCAGATGGCATTCCTTTTGCTTTCTCTAGTGCATTATAGGAAGACCTGTTTGAGCTGGCTATGGTGGTGCGTGCATTTCATCCCAGCACGCTACTTGGGAGGCAGAGGCAGGCACGTCTTTGTGAGTTCCAGGACAACCAGAAAAAATAGTAGTACCCTGCCTCAACAAACAAACAAACAAACAAACAAACAATAAATAAATAAATAAATAATCAAACAAATAAAATGCCCCCTTTGATTTGCTTAGCAAGCATTTATTAACATTTATTAATTAAACAATGAAACTTTCTCTGTCCTCAAAATATATACCCAGTCTATTTAAGGGGTAGATGCATTTAACCAGATTATCACAAAGCCATGTGGGGAATGACGCCGTGCAGCTGGGCGGGGGAGTGATTGGGGCTGAGGCAGTAGCGGGAGGCTGGGCATTGGACGCCTGAGATTACCTGGAGTGAGTGATGGCAGCTCTGGGGTTCGCCATAGAGACAGATGGGAGGTCCTGTGGGCTGTGGGGCGAGGAGGAGTGCAGGGAGGGGAGAGACCCGAGACTTCATCTTGCAGGCAGGGTTAGAGGGAGAGTCCTCATGCCCTCTAGGAAAGTTCAACGGCAGCACGCACAATTCCAGGAGAACACACTTTGCTTTTATGTAAACCCACAAAGAGATCCAGAAAAGCATATGGGCCCAAGTAGAATGAATCAGACTTTGAGAAAAATCTTCCCACACGGGTATTAGCAACCGTTCCATCGCCTATATGCACCATGGTTAGTATGTCCTGTGTGCTGGGAGTCTGCAGTCCGTGTGTGTGTGTGTGTGTGTGTGTGTGTGTGTGTGTGTGTGTGTGTGTGTGTAGGGTTTTAGAAGATACCAAAAATGTGTGACGTATCTGTCTTTTTAAGAACCCTGTCTTTGGGAAATGCGGTCCGGCATCACAGCAAACTAGTATAAGGACGTGTACAACAAGGCCCCAGCATCCCCTTCTGCCTCCCAGATGGCACAGGGCTGTGTGCTGGCTTTGCCTGTAGGCTGTGCCTCTTCTGGTGGACTTGTAAGGAGAAACATCTGGGGATTCCTGGGATCATCTTGGCCCACGTTGGCTCCTCAGACTGTATCTCTTTCAGCTACTACTGCCTTAGGCTGCCCTCCACAGGTGTTGGATGGGCAAGTTTATTGGTTTATGCCCACAGGTGTCGGCATTCTGACGGCTATAGAAGCCACCACAATGTTTTAGGAATGATGTATGAGAGAGAATGTGAGGTGGTCCCTAGGAGGGAGGTTTTTTTTTTTTTTTTTTTGTTAGTTTCTCTTTTAGGCATACCTGTTACCCATTAGTCTTTTCTCTGTTACACAAATGCTCTTCAAAAGGTGACACCTAGTGGCCATTTGCCCAATGTAAATTCATCCTGCTTGTAAATATATCTGGGTAAGTTACAATGTGCCTAATCTCCGTATTTTAGGGTAATAAAAAGTAGGAAAACATTTGTCCTCCCCCCCATTTTCCTGTAAGGCTTACACGAAGTCTCCAAGCAGATGATCTTTCTAAAGTCCCGTCCTCAGACAGAAGCAAAGCTGCGAGCAGAATGACTGTGTGGGACATGCTGTCAGGCCAGGGTGATGTTGTCTGTGTGACTGCAGTGGTGCTCCTGGCCCGGTGCTGCCGTCGCTCTGCCTCGCAAGCACGGCATCCTTTCTGTGAACTTCTTACATAAGAGTATGTATATTAGCGGGTCCATACAAATGTTGGTTGTAGCCAAAAAGAGAGCTGCTTCTTTGGCGACGAACAGTTGGTTTTCTAGCCGGCAGTTGGTCTTGTTGGTCTGACTGTAGGTGTATGGGATTCTGACAAAATGCAGCGGAGCGAAACAGACGAAGAACACGGCGATGACGACAAACACTCTCGCCCCCACTCTTCTGTGTTTGTCCTCCTTACTTGTGAACTTTCTGTAGGAATTGTATACTTTCTTGGTAATCACCACGTAAAAGAGAAGCATCAGAGTAAACACAGACCAGAAAACGAACTGGCATGTTTGGTTGACGACCTGGTGCCACACCAGCCCCAGGGGACTCTTCAAGGACGCACACTTCTTCACTGACGACGGCGTCGCCTCCTTGCTGTTCAAGATCATGTTGGGCAGGGAGATGAGGAACATCAGGAGCCAGGTGACAGCTGAGGCTGCCTTTGCAAAAGCGGGTTTCCTTGCAAAGGAGTTCTTGAAAGGCCTGATGATCTTGAGGAATCTGTCAAAGGCGATGAGGCCCAGCATTATGATGCCGACGTACATGGTCTCGTAAAAGACCACGGAAGAGAAGACGCACACGAAGCCTCTGAGTTGCCAGGGTCCCAGGTGTGCGTCGGAAAGGATTTTGAAAGGAAGCATTAGTGTCATTATCAAGTCCGCCACCAGGGTGTTCTTGAGGTAGACGGTGAAAGTTGAGTTGCTGGGGATGTGAACGAACACCCAGAGGGCCAAGGTGTTCAGCAGGAGGCCAGTCAAGAAGACCACCGTGTAGAGGGCTGGGAACACCAGCTGTGTCATCCGAGTATCTCTGGGGCACCGCTCAGACTTGTTGAAGTCCTGCATCCCCGTGGTGGTATTGGCTGTCTCAAGCATTGGCTATTGTATGTAAACACACACATAAGCAAGCATCAGCTGTCGTACGTAAACTCGCACATAAACAAAGAAAACAAGCAGCCCTCGAGACTTGGCAAACGTGACTTTTTGTAAAAAGAAACCACATTATGCAACACATTCCGTAGATCCGATTTTTGGCTAGAACGTTTTGAGCATATAGCTTGTTTTTTTTTTTAAGTCCCATTAATTTATACCCTTGTGAAATTCAAACAGCAAGCACCACTCATTACATTGCAATAACAGTACCCAGTTTGAGAAGTAAGAGGAGTACAGGGTAGGTTGTCACATATTATGTAGTGCCTTATTCTTATAGTCCATGTTTATAGAATATTTAGATTTTTAAAAATAAATTAGCCACATTCTATCTATCATAGCAAGGATGTTCTTAAGAAAAGATTGAAACTGACCTTGGTTTGGGAAGACACTCGGCTGTGTGTGTTGTGACAGTCATTAGCGCAACCCACGAATAGCTTGTGCAGTAAAGTTCTGCTTTCTTGTACTGGCTTTCCTTCCTCATTTTCACTTGCGGGCTTCTGTAATACCCATGTTTTCTAGAACCTCTTTATCTTCAGCGCTTTGGAGCACTAGCCAGTGGTAGCTACTGGTTTGCGTGTGCTGAGGACTGTACGCAGCGCGTTCACTGGCTCAGCAGGTACGCCCATCACTCAGCCACATCCCTGACATGTGCGACACTTTATTACATTTAATTGTATGTGTAGGGGGTGCATCCTCATTCAGCTGCACACAGAGGTGTTGGATTGCCAGGAGCTGGAGTCACAGGCGATTGTGAGCCACCCATGGTGGGCGCCTGGAACACGCTTTTAACTGCTGTGGTATTTCTCCGGCCCCCAAACTCATTTATTTTTTTATTAGTCATGATCAGTGACCTTTTTCAATACCTCATCTGTAGTAATAGGAGTTTAAATGATGGAGAAAATAGTAACCATTTACAACCAGGAAAGAGGAGAAGACCTGATTTGAAAGTCGGACACTTACCTTCTGCACCCTACAGGATATCTGCGAGAAGTCTGTATGAAGAGGGGGCGGTCTGTTTATTTCTGCGGACATTGCTGTCTGTCTTTTGACCCCCAGATCTCTGGGGTATAATGTGCCACGTTTTCTAAGAAGTAGGAGCTACTGTCTGTGGCCCTTTCTGGCATGTGGTATTGGGGCGGAACAAACGTTTTAGGGGGCTATGCATCTTACTTCCTCGTGTGTCAAGTTTGAAGGCATCCTCTACTCCATGGGAATTGTTGGGGAGGTGGATGGTTGGTAGCACCGAGCATATGGGGGGGACCTAAAAATGTCAGTCAGTCATTGCTTTGGTTTCCTCAACTGCCAGTTTGAGTGAAGATGCAGCTTGTCACCTTTAGAAATCCATCTTGGGAAACCACCTGCATTCTTGAGACTTAAAAGGATGTTGTGGATCAATGCTGGGCCAGGATGCGTCCAGTGTTTACTTCTCACAAAGTGTGGGGAGAGTCATAGTGTGTGACAGTGTGCTTGCCTGCCAGACAGATGAAGGGAAAGAGGAAATTAGGTGACCTTAGGGAGGACGTGCGGCTATCTCTGGCAAGCCTCACTTCCTGTTTCCTGCCACACGCTTGCTGTGAAGTTGGACCGTCTACAGGGTTTGATCAAGTCCTACGACTTGGTTTAGGACTCTGAATATGTAGATTCCACACTTGAATGTTTTAAAATGGAATGCACTGTGATGCCTGGGAACTTTGGTTAGAATTGCCAGAATGGGTGGCACACTTTAAAACAGTTTTCTCTTTGACTGAAGTATGTTCGAATTTCAGTGTTGTGATGGACCATAACTTAAATATGTGTCTTTTTGCTTCAGAAGAGGATTAAAAACATAGCAAAAACAATTTTAAGGTATACTTTTTTTTTTAGCTTACGTAGCTAATTTTGATTTTTACCCTATAGCCTTCAGTCCAATATAAAAATGAAGGCCTGCAAGGTTTCTCTTTAAACAAGGGAAATTCTGTGCAGGATAATTTCATAACATGAGAACTAGAAATCATAGTTTGCTCAAATTTCAAAATGCCAAATGTGGGAAACTTTGAAAAGAGGAACCGATCAGCAGTGTCCATTTCAAGGGTCACAAAGGTGCATTCTTTTGTTTGTGAAATGCATGTTTATTACGTGCACGTGTGTGCGTGTGTTACTCCTTCAGTGAGTCAGGTCTCTCTTTCCAGCATGTGGGTGCTATGGATTGAACTCTGTTTGCATGGAAGGTCTTCTCTGGCCAAGACGTCTTCCTGGCCCTAACATTTTTTTTAATTCATTTTTCATTTTACATAGCAGCCCCAGTTCCCCCTCCCCTTCTCCTGTCCCCCTGTCTCCCCCCTTCCCACCCCCATTCTCTCCTCACAGGGGGAAAGGCCTCCCTTGGGGAGTCAACAAAGTCTGGCACACCAAGTTGAGGCAGGAGCAAGCCCCTCTCTCCTGTGTCAAGGCTGAGCAGGGTTTCCCATCATAAGGAATGAGCTCCAGAAGACCAGTTTAATGCCCTTGGGCTAGATCCCGGTGCCACTGGCAGGGCCCCACCCCCAACAGATCAAGTCACGTAACCGTCACCCACATTCAGAGGGTCTACTTTGGTCCCAGGCAGGTTTCCCAGCTGGCAGTCCATAGTCAGTGAGCTCCCCCCATCTCAGGTGTCCCATGGTGTTCCCTATGGTGGTCTTGACCCCTCCCTTTGTTCATACGATCCCTCCTCCCTCTCTTCAACTGAACTCCAGGAGCTCAGCCCAGTGCTTGGCTGTGGGTCACTGCCTCTGCCTTCATCGGTCACTGGAAGTAGGTGCTGTGATGACAGTTAGGGCAGTCACTAATCCGGTTACAGGAGGAGGCCCATTCAGACATTCTCTACACTATTGCTAGGAGTCTAATCTGGGGTCATCCCTGTGGGTTCCTGAGAATTTCCCTAGCACCATGTTTCTCCCCAAGCCCATAATGGCTCCCTTATCAAGACATCTCTTTCATTGCTGTCCCCTCTGTCCCTTCCCCTATTGGGTCTTCTTGATTCCTCGTGTTCCCATCCCCTCCCTACTACCCCCTCCCAGTTTGCTCAGGAGATTTTAACTGTTTTTCTTTATGGGACCTGCCATGTGTGTCCCTCTTAGGTTCCCCCCCCTTAACCTAGCTTCCTGGAGTTGTGGATTATAGCCTGGTTATCCTTTGTTTTACATCTAATATCCACTTATAAGTGAATACAAACCATGTTTATCTTTCTGGGTCTGGGTTACCTCACTCGGGATGTTTTTGTGTTTGTTCTAGTTTGATCCATTTGCCTGCAGATTTCATAATGCCATTGTTTTTTATAGAAGGGTAATAATACTCCATTGTGTAAATGTACCATATTTTCCTTATCCATTCTTTGGTTGGGAGGCATCTAGGTTGTTTTCAGGTTCTGGCTATCATGAATAAAGCTACTGTGAACATAGTTGAGCAGATGTCCTTGTGGTGTTAATGTGCATCCTTTGGGTGTATGCCCAAGAGTGGTATTGTTGCATCTTGAGGTAGACTGATTCCCAGTTTTCTGACAAACAGCCATTCTGATTTCCAAAGAGGTTGTACAAGTTTGCACTCCCACCAGCAGTGGAGGAGTGTTTCCCTTTCTTCGCATCCTCTCCAGCACACGTTGTCATTGGTGTTTTTGATCTTAGTCATTCTGACAGGTGTAAGATGGTATCTCAGAGTCATTTTGAGTTGCATTTCCCTGATAACTAAGGATGTTGAGCAATTCCTTAAATGCCTTTTGGTCATTTGAGATAATTCTGTTGAGAATTCTGTTTAGATCTGTACCCCATTTTTAATTGGTATTTTGGTATCTAGCTTCTTGAGTTCTTTATATATTTTAGAGATCAGCCTGCTGTTAGATGTGGGGTTGGTGAAGATCTTTTCCTATTCTGTAGGCTGTCATTTTTGTCTTGCTGACCATGTCCTTTGCCTTACAGAAGGTCTCAGTTTCAGGAGGTGCCATTTACTGATGGGTGCTCACAGTGTTTGTGCCACTGGTGTTGTGTTTAGGAAGTGGTCTCCTGTGCCAATCCATTCGAGGGTACTTCCCACTTTCTCTTCAGTCAGGTTCAGTGTGGTTGGTTTCATGTTGAGGTTTAATCCACTTAGACTTAAGTTTTGTGCATGGTGATAGATATTGATCCATCTGTCATTCTTCTACATGCCAGCATCCAGTTACGCCAGCGCCATGTGTTGAAGATGCTTTTTTTTTTCCATTGTACAATTTTGGCTTCTTTGTCAAAAATCAGGTGTTCATAGGTATGTGGGTTGGTATTGGTGTCTTCAATTCCATTGATCCACATGTCTGTTTTTTATGCCAATACCAAGCTGTTTTTATTACTGTAGCTCTGTAGTAGAACTTCAAGTCACTAGAACAGGAAGTTGCTTTATTGTACAGAATTGTTTTGACTATCTTGGGTTTTTTGTTTGTTTTTCCATATGAAGTTGAGTATTGTTCTTTTGAGGACTGTGAAGAATTGTGTTGGGATTTTGATGGGAATTGTATTGAATCTGTAGATTGCTTTTGGTAAGATTGCCAGGTTTTTTTGTTGTTGTTTGTTTGCTTGTTTTTGTTTTTTTACTATGTTGATCCTACCTATCCAAGAGCATGGGAGATCTTTCCATTTTCTGATGCCTTCTGCAGGTTCTTTCTTTGAAATCTTAAAGTCATACAGGTCTTTCACTTGTTTGGTTAGAGTTACTTCCAAGATATTTTATGTTATTTGTGGCCATTGTAATGGGGGTTGTAACATTTTAAATAAGTGTTTCAAAGTGATTTCCTTGGTCAGTATGTTAGCAGATCTTCCCAGTGAAGCTCATATCTGTAGGAAAAAGTCTTCCCTTTTAAAGGGTCCATCCAAGAGCTGTTCCCTAGAGCACCGTGGAAGCAACATCTGAAAGCTAGAGGACTTAGGTCCAAGTCTCTGTCCACCTGTTACTTTTCTGTTCATTTGGGATGTTAGTAACACTCGCTATGAAATGCTTGCCTTCTCTTTATGATGTAAATACACAACAATCTTATCTTTATGAAGTTAAGGGGGTGAGATGAATGGTTGTCTGCCACACGCTTAGAATGATGCCTATTATGAGAGATGCTATGCCAGCTTGTCAAGTCAGCTAAAAAGAAAACCAGAATGCTGTTGGCTTAGTTCATGAAGGCCAGGAAGGAAGAAATACAAAACGTGCAGTGAAAAGTCTCATAATTTAGGAGCTTGCCAAATGGGAATAAACTAAAGATTGGGAATTCTAGTATGCTCCAAGGAAATAGAGTTAAAAATAATAAACATCAAGATAGCTATGCTATTACTGGTTATTATGTTATCATAGCCCTTATAATGCCTACAGAGCCTGACCTTAGTTTAGAGACGGAGAAACTAAAATGCGGAAAGAAAGCAGTTCCTCAAAATAGTGGTAACAGAGACAACTGTAAACTCACCATTAGCCCGATAGCCTGCCGCTCCCCGGAGATATCAGCAAGAAGAATCTGGAGTGCCTTACCCCATTATGGAGTTCTTATCCCAAGACTCACTGATTGGTATACAAAAACCAAAAAGCCATGAAATT